ACAAAACAGCTTTGTTGCAATAACTATCCCAGCCGCAACCACTAGACTTAGTATATACGTATCACTAAATCACACAAATCTATAGCTAATAATCACCACATAAAGTTGTACAGTATATGATACCTGCTTGTGATGCACATTCCAGGGGGTGGGGGTGTTGATAAGTTGCTCTTGGTACATTCTGCATTTGGTTTATGGCCTAATAATTTGAGAGCCCCTGTTTGTGAAGCGGGAAAAGAGTTCCTAAATACACCCACTGCTTGCGCCTTCATGTAGCTAATCAGAAAATGTACAGGGTTATTCACTAAAGGGTGAAGAGTTTGGAGAAGGCAGGAGAAGTGAACAATTTAGGACAACATCGCTGAACTGGAGAGTGAGCTGAATTGGAGCATTTTTCCAGATCAGCTATGTTGTCCTAGATTGTTCACTTCTCCTGCCTTCTCCAAACTCTTCACCCTTTTGTGAATAACCCTGTATATGTAAAAAAAAAAAAATCAGTACTAAAAGTTTCTCACACTAACCAATCAGAGAAGATGAAAGGCAAAGATTTTCTAAGGAACCCCCTGACCATGTCTTCTTGACAGAAGACACGGCCAGGTCCAGGATGGTCCAGGTCAAACTTTGGTGGCCAATCACTACAGTTTTTCAAGATAGGCTGGTGGTTCACTTCTCCATAGACACAAACACGCATTTCTTTTGCAGAAAGCATCTTCACAAACCCAGATCGTACATGTCCAGCTGGCCACCGCTTTAAGTCTGTGGGCACCTTTAGGGGTCAGTTCCTTCTTCTTGAAACTTTTACAAACTTGTCTGAGAATTTTCTCCGTACACACTACAATATCTCTGTCTGTCACAGAATGGATAATTGCCTGAATTGCACCGTGGGTTTTATATGTATGAAAACAAGTGATCCTTTAGGTTTAGACATTTGAAGTCTCCATGTAGGGGCTTTGTTCAAGTTATGGCTGGACATGATACAGAGGCAAGCCGCGGCGTCTAGTCATTAAATTGCGGCTACAAAGCCCGGCGTGGCGCAAGGCAGAAAAAAGAAAGGAGGATTGTGCAGGGAATCCCCGCGGTGTTGTGATTAGTGTGAACAGCAAGTGGTTTAGAAAGTCGCTGACCGCTGTGAACCGAACCGCAAGATTTTTTTGCAGCTGGGCCAGATTACAGCACTGCAGAATCTGATGAATTGAAAGCCGACACAAAGAAGTCTGCAGCCTACAAGTGTGTGAAATACACTAGAGCAGAATAGCTGCCATGTGACCATGTGAGGTTTTACAAACTTTTTGTGCTATTTTAGAAAAAATTTAGTCTACAATAAATTTCTGCTGTTGAACATGTTTGCCAAAGTCACTACGATCGCATGAAGAAAGGGATGATTAATGATACCCTAAAGCAAACCTGTGCTTTGCCCATGCTCTGCTTCTAAAATAAAAATGTAAAAAACAGTGAAATTGCTCCCTATAGAGTCGTTAGAATCCAACACTTCTGGGGGGTGTCAACTTCCTGGTCCCCCACTGAGCTCTGTGGTTTCTCCCACCGGCCTTTATGACACAGTAGTGATGATGGAGCTGGAGGCTTAAACCACTGAGCGCAGAGGGAAACCCGGAAATTGATGCTCCTAGAAGGGTTGAATGCTGAAGATTCTTCAGCCTGTGGTTTCTCTTCATAACAGTAGAGATTGTCTGTATGGGTGCCAGGAGAGATAAACATTAATTATCTTCTTTGCAGGGGACACTGTCAACAAACTGAAGAAATTAAAGATGCCTACAGACCGGAGAATGTTCCACTGATATGAAAAATTATGGCCAGATTGGCGAGCATTTATCTGTTTTTAGGCATTGCTACGACTCTGGCTGACGTTCCCGGTCTAATCCTATTTGAAGAAAAGTCGATTGGGAGGGACTGATTTGCCTGGCCTTGCTCACAGCGTTCCACCCTTCCCATCTTCACTGGATTCAAACTTGCTTGTTTGAAGAAAGATCTTTTATTAAAGCGGAACTCCAGTCTTCCCTTTAATGTTGCACTGTTGTTCCGGCTCCTCTCCTGGACTGAAATTGCTTACTCTGATTTTACTGCTTCACACAGTGTGCATTAGAAGCTGCAGCAAGTCAAATAGAGCATCATCTAAGCTCTTTCCTCCAAACTCTGACTGTCCCTGGTTGACCCCTTTCAATCATTGGATTTTAGTTTTTTCAATTATGGAGGTTCAGCATCACATGTGGGCATTACCTAGGGGGGTCTACAAGTAAATCCTATAAGTCCTGGTGACCATTGTTACTGGGTCAGAAAGTGATTGGAAATTCGGTATTTTACAGTTGTCCCCAAAAAAGTAATAGAGGCGAAAACTACCAATCGCAAATAAATAAACTGATACCGTAGGGGTTTTAACTCTTCCTTACCTATCCAAAAGAAAACAAGTGTTGGCTATACATACATCTTAAAAGGAGAACTATGGGGTTAGGGCTTTTCCCCATAGTTCTCCGAAGGGCAACGGGAGGAAACAAACTAGCGTCCTCCCGTTACCCAAAGCTCAGTATACCGCGAGCTGCAGCTCGCGGTATACTGAGGCGCCGCAGCTGAAACGGATCCTGACAATCATGTCTGGATCTGCCCAGCTGCGTGAGTGATAGCTCACTCTGCCTATCTAGAGGCAGAGCCAGCTGTAACCGACCCCTCCCCCGTCCATTCCTCCAGTCAGAGCTGGAGGATCGGAGCGGGGAGGGGGAAATCCAGTCCCTCCCCTGTGACGGCTCTCTGCAGTGACAGGATCGAGAAGTGAGAGAGCGACGCTATGTGTTCGCTCACCTCCTGATCTACTGAGCCGACCTGTGACAGTTTCATTGTCACAGGTAGGCTAGAACTATGAGGTGAGTGAAAAGCACTCACCTCATAGTTCTCCTTTAAGGGTACTGTATTTCGCCTTTGTGGTGCCTGCAATTGCCTTGATTATGCCAATGATCATTTTATGGACAGCCTTATACTCCCACCATCCAAGCAGCCAACAGATATACTGCCACGGGACTGCTGGCAGGGCAGTGTGGTACAACTCTAAGGTGAAACAAGTTCAGCAAGAACATACTAAGCAAGAACATCCACGCAAAGAGCAATTCATCGCATAACAAACATTTGTGCAGGTACTTCATAATACATGCACTTAGGAAGTAAAGCTAAGCTTCTGCTCCTTTATTTAAAATTGAACTCGGAGCTCAAAAAATTGATTTAAATATTTTCCTCAATGGCGACAAAGTTTAAAAATCCACTTTGTGTGCATCAAATACCATTGCAAACCCATATTTTGCTTGGCAAATGTAGCGGTGACATCCTTGCTGTGCAATACATGGTTTAAACAGACAGGAGAGCTGTGGGAGGGACCTAGCAGGCCCCACCCACTACAGGCTACCTGCAGAAAACTACAGGACAGGGCGGAGACAAGACCAGTCACTCTGTACAAGGAGAGAGAGCAGCAGTGACTGGTCTTTATTACAGGAGGTTCCTGGACAGAGGTAAAAAAGGCGGGAAATGTTCCATGCTGGATAACTGCACTTATTTTGAAGGAATACACAAAGGGCACCAAGATTCAAGTAATAATACACATACCTCATGTATTTAGACCAAGGGTAGCCAAATTTGAGCCCCCCCAGTTGTTGTGTTGTGGTACTTCAAGTCCCATAAGGCACTGAAAGACTCTGTCACCCACAGGCATGACTCCTGGAGGCAGCAACATGATGGGATGTGTAGTTTTACCACAGCTGGAGGGACGGAGATTGGCTACCTCTGATTTAGATCATCTTTCTCTAGCCCAGTTTACAACACTGATTTTTCTACCCTATTTGTTACGCATTCCCTGAAGAGCTGAACCATTGGTGGAACCTGTCACCCCTAACATTTCCACGCAGAGAACTGCTAGTTCTGCCACAGTAACAGGCAAACAGCATGGAGACTCACAGGAGGTGCAGATGCTCTACCGAGGAAAAACAAAAAAAACTTGATGGCATTGACAATCAATTAAAAACAACCTCAGGTGCCTGCATGGATCTTTCAGTAACTTTCATATATGCCCTGGTACCCCAAAACCCAGAGAAGTCTGATATACCAATATGGCATTCCTCAGCGAAAACTAAGTCTGGCCACCTCCCCTCCAACTTCCCATTGTTGGCTCATTAACTTGATGGACAGCATCCTTGTTTTTTGTTTGTAGTCCTGCTGCTATTTAATTTGTTCTTTTATTAGCATTTTATAAGAATTGTCATTTAAAGAGACCCTGTCAAAGAAGCCAAAGGTTTGAGCAACAACCTACCTGTAAAGAAGAAAAGGGATACTTACCTCCCCTGCAATTAAACGCTGATTCGATCCCGAGAAATCATCCACATGGAAATCAACACTTCTGGGAGTGTCAATCTCCAGGGATGCTGGCAGCTCTCACTGGTTTCCCCTGTTGACCTTCATGTGACTGCTGAATCCTGCAATGATGTTGAGGACATCAGGGGGAACCAGTGAGAGCTGCCGGCGACCCTGGAGATCGACATTCTGAGAAGTCTTGATTTCCCAGCAGATGATTTCTCGGGATCGAATCACCGTTCAGCATCAAGGGTGGCAGGAGAGGTACGTATTATATTTCTTCTTTACATGTACATGTTCTCAAGTTTTACTTTTGTGACAGGGTCTCTTTACAGTAGGAAGGATATCTTCCTAGTAAACCTATTCTGAGATACGAGGCTAGAACTGAAGGTCTTCTTCTTGAAAATGTTAGTTGCCTGACTGGCATGTTGATGCCATACTTCAACCCTTTCAGTGCCACAGACAAGTACTGCATCTGTAGCAATAGGACCCTGTAAACTGACTTTACATTTCTTGAGCTAACTCCCAGCTTTCTAATGTTAATGATTTTACAGCCGCCCGATCACATGAACAAGTCCGGCAACATGCAGCCCCCCCCAAAAAAGGTTAGTCAACTTTAGGTGAACTTGCTGGATAAATAAAATACATGATGTTACCTGAATAGAATTCATAAGGCTGGACATCTTCAGATTCATACGGGTCCTCGTCCTGTACAGCAAAGGAATTGTAATACAGTAAGCAAACTGGACAACAACATTAAAATGTTATATTTACATTTAATTTTATGAAGTAAAGAAAATTGTATCTGGCTCATCTGTAGACATGGCAAGGATTTCAGCAACATTTACTGCAGATTTACCTGCTTCTGTTCTGTAGATTTTAAGACAGACCATTCCAATGCTTTGCTCAAATCTTTACACAGACAGCCCAACCAATGTAAAATTTGGTCAAGCAATATGCATAGCTAGGAGGTTAAAGTGACACTAAACTCAGGAGTTAAATCTTAAAAATGCATTCAAGCACCTTAACTATTAACAAAAATGTATCTGATTTGTGTATCACTGGGCTGTAGATCCTCCAATCATCTCTGAATTGGTGCCGACACTGTCCTTCCTTCTGGAGGGTGACTACTTTTGTTCCCCATGGTCCCGGTGTGTGTTGTAAAGTAGTCACCGCTCCAAGCTTATTCCTGTGATGGACTACAATCTCACGTTTAGTCTGCTCATTTGTATTGAGATTGTAGTCCATCAGCCGAGTGATACACAAATAAGATACATTTTTGCTAATAATTGAGGTACTTGAATGCATTTTTAAGCTTTAACTCCTGAGTTTAGTGTCACTTTAAAGTACATCATTTGGGTAAGGTTGTTTTGCTAAAAACCTTCACAATAAGTACCAAGTGGGAGCTTCTGCCTTTATTACACTACATGGCTAGACGTTTGGGAACACCTGACCATTAAACCTACCTATATTGAGAAAAGTATGTGGACACCCCCCCCCCCCCCCCCCCCCTCCCGTCCGCCACGCTGCTC